CTCCCTCCTTGAACTTGTAACCCTTACCCAGACCACAATTTTCGGAGCTTTCCTGTGGTGAACTGGTGAAGTCCTACTAAAAGCAGCTTTCTGGTTGAAACAGGAACACAATACACAGATTAGCTACGAGCAGAAGAGCCCCCGAAGACTGAGATTCAAAAGATAAGGTTGCCTCAACTTACACATGGAAAATTATCTTTTCAATAGTTGACCAGAAATGTCCTCTTAAGCTGAACACCTAAATTACAGATTGCATTTAAATGCTAAGAAAACTTCTTTTTCTAAGAAAGCCACAGCAAACAAAATGAAAACTCTTATCATACGTACTTTGAAAGATTCCTGAACTTTTAAACTTTTGAAGTAACTGTAAACAACAAAATCACTTTTTTTTATGCAAATGCATCACTGCTACTGCAAGGACAAAACCAGCTGGTCTTAACAATACAGTGACACTACTGAAAATTCAATTCACATCTGAGCTCCTCCGGTTGCCACCTGTACAGTAAAGCTTAATAAACCACTTATTCCTCCTAACAGATGCTAATCATGGACTGACGATACATAATCAAAATCTCCTCTTTAACCCTTTCAGCAAATAATCATTATTAAATCTGCTTTGCAGCAGCACTATTAGAACAGTTGGTAACTCTTACAGAAGTTGTGTCAGTAGTGGGTTTTTAATTGTTTTTTAAAACTGCCTTCCTATTATAAAATATATCAAACATAGTTTACTAGTTTGAAAGAAAACTAATAAAACTAGGTGTTGTGCAAAGAAGTACATAGTTTATTCTTTCCTTGACACGTTCAGTCATTTTGTAATTTTACTTTCATAATTGTTTTATCTAGAATGTTTATTTGTTTTCCTTGATAAATAAATCTAAACATACACATACAAGCAAGCATATACACGTACACACACAATGACCGTATCTGCAGACAAATGAGGAACATACAGCAATAAACTATTTTTATTTCAATTTTTAACAAGACGATTTCCTAAAAATAACTATGCAAAAGTAAGTAGAAAAAGGCATAGTTACCTTCTGCCTTTTATTTAAACTGTATAATTACTGTAAGCATGTAAAACTTAAAATAGTATTATTTTTAGCCTCTTAGTCAACGTTAATTGTTGTCATTATACTAAAGCAAAGATATAATTAAATCTGCAAGCGTTACACACGTATGAAGGAAATAAATTCTCACGTTCTTTAGAGGATGAGCTGCTTTGGAAGCTTTTATATTTTTTCTGAGCTTGCCAAATGTACATCCATCTACACTGTCAAAAAAACAAACTGCTTCTTTTCATATACTATTACTACAAACAATGAACACCATATTTTCACAGAATCACAATGGTTTAGTTTGGAAAGGACCCTCAAAGACCATGTATTTCCAACCGTGCTGTGGGCAGAAACATCTTTTACTAGGCCAGGCTGCTCAAAGCCCCATCCAAACGGACTTTGACCACTTCCAATGATGGGGCATCCACAGCTTCTCTGGGCAACATGTCTCAGTGTCACCATCCTTACAGTGAAAATAAATTCTTCCCTATGTCTAAACCTGCCCTCTTCCAGTTTAAAACCACTGCCTCTTGTGTCACTACAGGCCCTGGTAAAAAGTCTCTCCATCTTTCTTACGATCCCTCTTTTATATAGTGAAAGGCTGCAATCGAGTGATCTTTAAGGTCCCTTTCCAATCCAAACCATTTTATGATTTCAACTTGGTTTAAGGGAAGTGCTTTTATTGGCAATTTGCTTCTGTATTTTAGAACCAGTAATTCAAATATACAAAATCTTTCTGGGTCTGACAGCAAAAAAAACTCAAAATATTTTTTTGTTGTTGTTCACCTTCACCCTCCCAGTGACAATTCAAAGTAGGCCAACATATACTTTGTTACTGTGAAAAGAAACCAGGTAGTTTTCAAAACCAGTCAAAACCTTACTTCTACTTTCTGTAGAAACCACGATTTATGCATCCTTTAACATCTTCCTCTTCTTCGATCAAGATTTTTTTTTTCCCTCCACCCTCCCCGCCCCAAAAAATGGAAAAAACTTAAGTGTAGGTCTCATCCACAAAGTTTCTTCAGCTAACCACAGTATTCACCAGCTCTGGTAACATCTCTCATAAGCATAACTCCTCATGACAATTTTGGTCAAATTCTGAGGCCTCTCTTCTTAATTTCACCTTAACTCTCTACAAAATTTTTTTCAGCCTTCTGCTAACCTTATCTTTTACTTTTAAATCACTTGTTTAATTATAGCCATTAATAAATTGCTTTGGTCCAACCATATAGCAAAGTTTTAGAAAGTATTATGTGCATAACTTTCAAGTACTGTGTCAACTTTCTACATTATTTCTGTTTTCATCGGTAAAGCGGTACCTGTTAGAATTCACCACCGCCACCTTTTGGAACAAATAAAAAGAGTCATCATTGGAGAAGAAAAGAATTTTGTATTTTGGGAGTAGAAATTAGTATTCTCAAGAACCTCTTTTCTAAAATGGTATGACTTTAACAGAAGGGAAAAAAAACCCCACACCCACACAACAACAAAAATCCCACAACTCAAAGTACAAGGAATTCTTACTTGCCGTTTTTCCTAATCTTTTCAAGCTCTCCCTTGAACAATCGCATGTTACAACAGAATGCATACTGAAGTGCCATTTCTTTGTTTGGGTGGAAGGGTTTTTATTGCTTCGTAACAAAGAAAATATGTTCTGTAGTGTAAAGAACTGACTGTACCCACAAAAGTGTTAAAGATGACTAAGGATACATTTTTTTCTTCTTTTTTCAGAGATTGGACGTTTTTCATCCCTCACAAAAACATTAAGTAACTTATAGTTGGCCATAAACACACAAGCACAATAAACTGGTACACTGACTTTGTATAAACAATTAAAAATAAGCTTTTGTTGAGGGAAAGAGATCTGTACCTCACTGTTATTTCCCTTTCATTTTTTAAGGCCTATAGGACAACCAACCAAAAAGCACAAATCTCTCTGTAATTTCTCCTGTTCTTTCTCCAATTCCGTATTTTGTATTTAGAGGGAGAAAAGTTATGCATGTCAAGTTGACCACTTATGAAGCATTCGTTTCATTCTACTGAGTAATGCACTTTTTTGTTCAGTATTCATCCTGATTACTCCACAGAGAAACAGAGCTCAGCTGCAGCCAGCTAGCAGCTCTCATTCCGTGGTTGCAGGTGTAGGG